CCCTTGCCTCAGCTTTGTTTTTTGGAGGCAAAGGAAAAATGATCTCCTAGTTTACTTTTGGAATCTGCAAAGCAACCCCGAGGTCCCAGGTGGATTTAGTATTTGGAAAAAGGAACTTGGGGGACTAAGGTTGACCCTGAGCCCCCAGGTCACTGTTCACATTTACGAAAGCAAACCTGGTATCCCCAATTGCTTTTCTCTTGAGGTTGGCTTAACTTTATTTATCTTCTGTCTTGGGTCAGTGCCCCTGAGGTGCTTCAAAAGCAAAACCCAAAAGACCCAAAACAAAGAAAGCTAAACCAGATTCAAGGAAAAAATGACCTGGCACTGTGGGCTCACTTTTACAAAGGCAAAAAGTCACTTCAAGAGATCCATAGAATGGTTTTAAGTCTGCCTAGATTCGTTGTGTCATTTACACAAAGTGATCTCAACAGGTCTGAGATCCCTGTTTCTTGCCTGTAGATCTGGAGTGAGTCTGTAGGATGGGAAGCTGTCAGCAAGTAAATGGCTTGACATAGATGAATTCCTCAGTGATTCTGAAGTGATTCAACTATTTTGAGCATATAAATGGGACCACCCATGCAACCTTTTCTTTCCTTAAGCTGATCTTTTTGTTTGCTGGACACACACAAGGAGCACCGAGGAAGTGAAATTTACAACTCACTTATAAATATTGTGTACATCCACTTTATGTTACCAGATTAGTTATGAAAGGTATTTTTGAATCCTTGGTGAAAAAAAGAAGTTAGCATACTAATTTCAGGTAATCTTATAAGTCATGATGAGATAGAACTGAGGCACATTATTTTGCTATTCATTTTTATATGATCCATACTTTGCTTACTTCCCAAAAGGATTTAAGGTGGAATTATTTTACTTGACTATTGGAACAAACCCATTTATAGAACTTAATACCAATTTTCATTATCATATGCCAGACTTTATCCTTTAATAAGTAATTGTAAAATTGCTTTGGGGTAATCTGGAGAGATTTTTGATTTTGTTCATGTTTGATCTACATCTTTGAACTTCAGGTATATGTGTTAACTAATAAATTCACCTGGTGAGACCATGCCTTACTGTTTATAAGACAGAAAGAGATTTTGTGTGATTAATAACAACTGTATTATTTGTACGCTACCATCCGAAGGAAGCAAACATGAAGTAGAGAGGTGAGGTTTTCCATAATTTAGGTCTTAATATTAAGAACATAGTGCATCCTGTGAAACCTGACTAATTGTGAGAGGCAGCCCCCAAGGCAATGCCTGTTGATGTGGAGTGAAGGTGAGTGTCAGTGGTCGTACCTGGCAGCACCCCACTTTCCTCTTCCCTTCCTGTCACACTCTGACTCCAGAGCAGTCACGTTATTTTTAGGTCATTGCCATCAAAGACCAGTGTTTATGCCTCTTGTTCAGAACATTCATGGGTAGCAACCTATAGAAATGGGCTCAGCTCATAAAATCTGGCCTGGTATAGTGTTAGGTAGGACCTAGGAATAAAGTCCTGGTTTTGTGTTATATCTTTCAGTTCAATAGAATTGTGTTTTAAAAAGTGAGAAAGGACCTTATAATTGTTACAGATGAGGGAAACTGGTAGACCATTTAGAAATATTAGTGCTGCTTTCTCTGGGAAGATCATTAACTCAATTAACATTAGACCCAGTGCTCTATCATGAGGGAATTTATCTTACCAGTACCCCAGTGAAAACTTGGGAGAGATGGAGAGAAGTTAGTTGACTGCCTTTAGTTGCCATAGTTTGCCCGCTGGCCAACACCGTCCTTTTTCAGAGAGCTATCAGCATAAGCCAAAGGAGTATGTAGGATGTTCATTTTTTGTACTCATGAAGTCTAAGAAAAAAGTTCCCAAGTAAACTTGGAATAGTGGTCTGACATCATCAATCAATCAGTTATTTCTTGAACATCTACTGAGTGGTTACACTGTGCTGGACATACTTTGTGAGTTTGGCTGCCCAGCTTTGTGAAGTTTATTTACTTATTCCTGAAGTATTATGCATTTGGAAAATCCTTATACACATGGAAAGAAGAAATCAGAATATGAGATCAGCATACTTGCTGGCCCCATCTTTCCTCTTTACCCACATCCATGTATCCTTCGGGACACAGACACTGAAATGGTGCTCAAGTCTTCAACTGTTGGATTCGTAGACTGAGAGTAACGAGGAAGCAGTCGTCACCAGCTTCTATGTGAATTAGTGGTTTCTATCTTATTCCATATTAAACTAAGGGTAGCTTTGGCTGGGTTACAGTAATTTCAATTACTCAGATTTTGTGTGAATAGTTTTTTAAAAATAATTTCTTCATGTTACATCAAAATGTTACTTGTTTTCTCGTTAACTGCTTCGCCACTTGTAATGTAAGCTCCTCGAGGAAAGGGATTTTGTCTCATTTCAATAGTGTATGTCTGGTGCCTAGCACATCATAGGTGGGCAGTCAATATTTGTTGAAGGAGTAAATGAATCTTATCTAGATCCTTGGCCCTTTTATTCACATTGGTAATGCATTCCTTATCCATTATGTGCAAATTTACATGAATTTTCACAGATATCTATAAATTATGCAAAATATGTATTTCTACAAAGTATTAATGTAAATATGAAAGCATATAGATTATGTTTGTCTACATGTGGGCGTGTAGGTTAAATTTTGTGGTTCCTGTAATTTCTAGAGATTTGCATATGAGTATCTGACCGTATGTGAAAAATGTAAGCATAGTGTTTCATTATCTAGGAAAGTCTGTTTTTGTGCTGTAGAAGAAGCAATTCTGAGTTCACAGTTGGAGTTGATGTGGGTTTTTAATTCATTAAATAGGCTCCTCCTTTCCCACCTGGGGGTAGATCGGCTCAAAAGAAAAAGAGCCTTATTTTAAGACCCCTTCCTCTTCCATATCCCAAAGGTCATGTTGCTAATGCCTTTTGGAAAGAAAGGGAGATTACAGCCAGTATATTAAGTGGTTACTTTCTGCTGAATCTGTGCATGAGCATGCACTCTTGTGCAAATACACCACATACACCTGAAAGAGGACTCCTTCAAAATGAGGCTTTTGCTGACAACTGTGTCAGTGGTGTTCATTACTGAAATTTATTTTAATATATTAATATATAAACCTTATTTCTAACTATAGCATTAACTACATGTCCATTGTACAGTATTATGAAAATAAAGAAAATAAGTTACCCATAACCTCACCACATAAATAACAACCATTCTTAACATTTTTCTCAAATTTTCTTCCAGTCTTTTTTGGTAGGTTTTTATGGAATTTAGCAAAATTTATCATAAACATCTTCCTAAGTTATTTAAAATTCTATGTAAACGTTAATAACCACATGGTATTCATTGTACAGTTATACCTCACTACTTAACCGTTTTCATAATATTGAGATGTAGGCTGTTTTCAGCCTTTTGATAACACAAATAACATTTTCAAGATTAATATCTTTGTGCATAAGTTTTTTCTACTGTTTCCTGAAGTTACATTCCTAGTAGTAGGATTACTGAATCAAAGGGGATGGCCATTTTTATAAGGTTCTTAAACATATGGCAGAATCATATTCTGGAAAACTTATACCAATTTACATTCTCACCATCAAAGTGTATGAAAGTAAGTTTTCCTCCTTGTGAAACAACACTCAAAAATTACACAGAACTTAAAAGTTCCCTTTTCTCTTTCAGAAAGTATATTCTTTAACATTGTCTCAGTGTAGTTTCTGTGCCAATATTTCAACTTTTGGTATGGCCTCTAGAATGTTATTGTTAGTGTTGATGTATAGTTAATATTTTCATTATAAAATTTTCTGTGTTTTACAATAAAGTCCCTACTAATAACTGCAAATTGGATGGGAAAAGATTCAAAAAACACCCTTACCTTCCTGAGGAAAAGCTAGTTTCTTGTAACCTTTCTTTAGGTGGCTTTGATCACCCCCAAAATTTATCCTTCTTGAGTCAGTAGATCAGCTCATGTATCCTATAGGTAAATGCAAATGCTTCTTTCATTTTAAAGTAAAACGAGTAGACCCCTTACTTATAAAGTGAGTTATAAAAAGAAAGAAAAATATAAAAACTAAAGGAAGGTGGTAAGTAAAGCATTTAGCTTTCTGAAACAATTCAAATAGGGATAGGAAGTTGGGTTTAAATGGCTTAAAGGGGATTAGGGTTTTAAAGTTGGATAAAGAGTTTGGTGCTTTGGTTTAGACATAGCATTGCTTTTAAAAGATTACTTCCATATTTGACAGCGATTCTAACTGGAGATTATAAAGCAAATAGTCTATTTTAAGACACTACGGAAAACAAGAGGGTTCCTTTTTTGTTGTTGTTTGTTTATACAAAATGATCTCCTTGAGTTAACAGGCTGAATCTTGAAGCCCTCCTTTCATAATACTACTGAGGATCTATCAGCAGGGAGAATCCAGCAGTGGTTGTTTAATGCACTTAATTGAGATTATCTGAGCTTTTGGTTTAAATTAGTTTTGAAAAAGGCTAGATATAAACAGTTTCTTTGAATGGTAAACATTCTTACCTCTAAGAAAAAAGGTTCAATTTAAGTTCTTTAAAATTCTTCATACAGTTAGTAGCACCAGCCCTTATTAATTAAATGTGAGTAGTGACTGAATAATGTGAAAGATATACATTACAAGTGTTAATATGATTGTTATATGACAAGTGTTATAATTATATTACACATTACAAGTGTTAATATAATTATAGTGTTTTCATTATTTTACAGTTATTTGTAAATGCAATAAAATACTTTATTAGAAAAGCAACTCCAGACAATTTTAGTAATTTCAAAGTAAAAAGATAGTGTTTACATTTTGGTTATAGAGTAGTTAGTGAAGGTTTAAAAATGAATTTCCTTATTTTATTCCATCTAAGAAGCAAGTTATATTAAAATGGACCAAAAATAGCATTTACTTGATTTATGTGTATTGACTGTGGGTAAATATCAAAAGCTGATTTAACAATTTCCCCCATCTTCCTCAGCTCCTTGATCTGTTTATGGTTTGGGATTGGTCTACTTATCTAGCTGATTACGGACAGCCAGCTTCTAAGTACCTTCGGGTGAATCCAAACACAGCCCTTACTCTTTTGGAGAAGTGAGTATATTGTGAAAACTTTTTTGTATAACATTTTAGCATTTTTTGATTCAGTGATAAAATGAGTAACTAGGGATTTCCATCAAAGTGGACATTAAAAGCTCAGTCCATTGTGGTGACAAAAAGACATGCCTCTTTTTTGCCCTTCAGAGTTGGTGTAGTTTTATATGCATTTGCTGTTTATATTGATGTAAAAAAGACATTTTTCCTATTGTGTGCTGAATTGCAGGCTTAATTGACATTAGGAGTGAGTTTACTGGAGATATAAGTGAGAAATAGAGTTTTTTTTAAAAAAAATCTGTAACACAAGAAAGAAGGTATTTGGTAAGATGTGGCCAGGAATTGGAATGTTTGCCACCAGTGCTACCTAAACCCTAGCATTAAGAACATGTATTCTTTGCAGGTAGAAAAAACAGGTGATTTGAGAAAATAATATAGTAAAAACTGAGGTAACAGGATATGCTGGTGCATCTTGTTCAACTAAGCATAAATGTAGGAGTTACTTTTCCCTCTCATTATGTGGCAGACTTTTTTTTCACTTTATCATATTTCAAGTATCACTATTAAAAGCCTAGTTTATATAATGATATTAGAAAATAGTGCGATATAAGAAAACAGCAGGGCTAGCCAGTTAGCTCACTTGCTTAGAGCAAAGTGTTAACACCAAGGTCAAGGGTTCAGATCCCCATACTGGCCAGCCACCAAAAAAAAAAAAAAAAAGAAAAGAAAAGAAAACAGCATATTTTAGATTTACATACTAATGCAAAAAATATAGAATGTAAAATAAAGCTGCTAATTTTTTGTGATTGCTATATCTAAAAGTTTGTTAGTACCTGTTTTCTTTGAAGTGTATTTTTCAAGCATAGGATTGGTCTGAAATAATTCAGAGCATGCCAAGGTATTTTACTTGTGACAGCATAGTTTTTAATTTCCTTTTACTGAGCTTCTTTATTCACATATATTTCTAGGATGAAGGATACTAGCAAAAAGAACAATATATTTGCTCAGTTCAGGAAGAATGATCGAGACAAACAGAAGTTGATAGAGACAGTTGTGAAACAGCTGAGAAGTTTGGTAAATGGTATGTCCCAGCACACATAGACTTCACATTGCTTGCACTCAGTGACACCAAATCTGTGACTCAACATTGATCTCTAACAAGCACTGGTCATGATGCAGTAATTTGTTTACAGAATTCAAAAATACAGAAGAGAAAGACACCAATAAGGGTTTAAGCAAGAAAAATAAATATTATTTGTATGGATTTTTAAATAATTGAATACTATTTTATATATGGAAAATGTGACATTTTTTTCACTTTTAGGGGAAAAAAGGCAAAAATGTAATATATGAATCATTAAAAATTGTATATGAAACTGATTGCAAATACATTAGAAAAACATGCCTCCAATAAGTATTTTTTTCTATTTAGGCTTGAATGATTTTGTTTTTTCGTCAGTATATGGTTTTGGAATGCAATCATGTCTGATATAGGAGTATTTCACTGTCATTTTCTGACTTTTAGCTTTTATTTTCACCTCAGTGTAACTTAAGTAGACTAAAATGTCTAATTCTGCTGGTTCTGAGGGAGGAATAGACAAATCTTTAAAAGCTCCCTGAAATCAAACTTAACTCAGTAAGAATGTGAATTATTTGTTCTACTTGGGTGGTTTAATTTAATTGTTCTGAATATGAAGCAAAAGTTTTGGGTTTTCTAAAGATGCAGTGTTTTTTTTCTGTTCATCAGGGTTAATATTTCTAACTACATCTCTTGTAGCTGACCCCATTTTAGCATTTGTTTGGTTTGATTCGGTGCAAATTAGAAGAGAAGACAGACGGAAACTAACGAGGGCTAACCACTTCAGGTGCAACTTGTGCTAGGGTAGCTGTGTTCCTACACACACACAAGTTACCACAGGGGTCAGGTTACTTTCTTCAAATAGCAGCTCTTAGTACTGTATCCTCATTGTGGAAACAAGCCAAACCAAGCGAACTCTGGAGAACCTAAAGCAAGTGTACATTTTCCTTTGTGTAAATTACTGTGGTTCAAATGACAATATAAATCTGCTCCTTGTTTTCTCTTCTTTGTATTTATGCTGAAAACTCCCTTTGCATTTTTAGGATTTGTGCCTATGAGAAACTATACATGATTCTGTAAAATACGTGTAAAGAATTACATGTACATCTCTTGATTTTGTGATGAAATATTAAAAACGTTGAGCAAATTGTTGAAAATGCATTGCTATTTCATCTATTCAGAGCTTCCTGATTAAAAAACAACTGCTTTCTTCAGAAAAGGCATGTTATTCCCCTAGTTATTGGAATAGGAGTGGCACCAAAACATACAAAAAAATAAGCATTTGTTTTCTTGTTCATCTCATCCTAAAGATCATCTCTTAATCGTCTCTTATCCTTTCCCGTTTTAAAAAAATATTGCATGAACAAGATGATAATTTTTCAGGCACAATAAAATCTGGAAGTTAAGAGAGGAGCGGTGAACAGATAGCTCTCTCCGAGGACTATGGAATGTGGCTGTCCCTCGCGTGCCCTACCCAGCCCTCCATGGTACTCGGGATTCCTACCCCGCTTTGGCGGAGGCGTCCTGGGATTCGGGGTCGTCCTTGGGATTGTCCCGGGGAGATGCCGCCTTTGCACCGCCGAGAGCAGACCACTGGGGTTACTGTTTATGCTTCCTAATAATACAAGTATAATGCAGGCACCCCCTACACCCCAGGTTGCGCTGTAGGGACAAGGACGTGTGAGTCCTGAGGCATTTGGAACCCTCGGATGAGACACACAAAGCCCAAGACGCAACCGTGTAGACTGACGAGGGATTGTCCGTGGGCTCGGGAGATGGAGGCAGGGAACGAACGGCGAATTCGGTCCTTGAGACCGGAAAGGAGCTCGGGGCCATCAGCTTCCCGCAGCTTCGGGCGGGAGTCTCAGTGAAGCTTTGGGCAGCAATGACACTACCACCTTTTGAAGGATTCCTGGGGTGGTAGATGGGGGAGGGGTGCGCTGTTAGATAATCTCAGCCCTGTCTCCTTGGGGGCTGCGGCGATGCCAACGCAGGCGTCGACGACCGCCGTTTCTCTGAAGGAGAAGGAGCAAACCTTGGAGCGGCGAGGGGAGGACACCTAGCAGCTCGAGGGTGGAATCCTAGAGAGCCAGCGGCCGGGGCTGGGCTGAGAGCGCTGCAGCCCACTCCCCGAGCTCCTGCGAAGAGCAGGGCAGTTCTGGCGCGAAACCGCAGGCCGAGCGCTGCGGCGACTGCCACTCCCTACTCAGAGCCCCCGCGACAGTGCGCCGCTGCCCACCGCCTCCAATCATCACCCTGCGTGGAGCGCTTTAAATATGCATAGGCACGTCACGCTGTGTGAACCGGGAGCAGTCCGTAGGGAGGGAGCCAATAACTATATAAATGTGTCCAGGGGGCCCAAGAAGGGTTAAACGACTGGAGGAGCGAGAGGTGGGGCGGGGGTCTGCAGCCCCGGTGATCGCAACCCAGGTTGGCAACACCGGTGAGTTGCTCCTCTCCTTGCCCTCCCTCGCTGCTTCTGTCCAAGGAGTGCTGATCCCGGGAGGAGGTGGGAGGTGACCCGCGGGTGCCGGGCGTGAGCGTTCCCGAGGCAGCCAGCACCCCCAGAGAGGTACTGGCATTTTGGCCCAGGAGCCGGGAACATGTCCTGAGCGCGCCGGCTTCGAGGAAGGCATGTTCCCTAAGGGCGCGCGGTCACTGCCGCCTTCCACTGCCAGTCTGTTTTTAGAGCGGAGTTCTTGTCCCAGGTTCTCAATCCCGGGCTTGGTCCCCAAGCTCCAGGCTCTTTCCGGACGGAACAGGTGAGCACTGCGTGCTGCTCGCGCCCCAGTTCTTGCGCGCCCTGCGCTCCCAGCGGCCTGGACCCCGCGGGCTCGCCATGTTCCCCTGGGAGCTGGGCTGCCTGTCGGTGCTGGGGGCGGCAGGCACCGCTCTCCTGTGCGCCGGCCTGCTGCTCAGCCTGGCCCAGCACCTCTGGACCCTCCGCTGGACGCTGAGCCGGGACCGGGCTTCCGCCCTGCCCCTGCCCAAAGGCTCCATGGGCTGGCCCTTCTTCGGCGAAACGCTGCACTGGTTAGTTCAGGTGAGCAGTCCGTCGTTCCCGCACCCTAACATGGCTCCTTCCCCGGCTGCCCCCGGACCCATCCTCCCTCTCAATGCTCCCGGGGTTCATAGCCAGTCCCTTCCCATCGCCCAGGACTCCGGAGAGCGCGCACAAATCTCATCTTTTCCTGGCCACTGTCTGTTCAAAGGGACCTCACGTCACTAAAGTTCTCCCCAACGCAACTTAAACTCGTCCCGACACAAAGCGTGGGTTTTAGAAAGGGGTCTGAGGAGCATGTCACCTTATGTCCCGCATGCATAGAATCAGGAGCCAGGGGCGTGTCTCAGCTGTGAAGTTTTGAGCGCTCACGTCCTCACTCTGGGCCTCAGTTTTCTCATCTCACCAATGGGAACAAGAGCATCTACATTCCCACGGAGTAGTTGCGAGGACCATTTGGGGTCCTGTTTTGTAAACAGTAACGCACCAGCCTGGGGCAGGGGAGTCGTTCCCCGGCCAGATCCCCGGGCAGGCCCAGAGGCTTCAGCCCTCCCTCGCTCCGCCTCGCTCGCAGGGCGCGCGCTTCCACAGCTCCCGCCGGGAACGCTACGGGACGGTGTTCAAGACGCACCTGTTGGGCAGGCCGGTGATCCGTGTGAGTGGCGCCGAGAACGTGCGCACCATCCTGCTGGGCGAGCACCGCCTGGTGCGCAGCCAGTGGCCACAGAGCGCGCACATCCTGCTGGGCTCGCACACTCTGCTCGGCGCGGTTGGAGAGCCGCACCGGCGGCGGCGCAAGGTGAGCAGAAACCCGGGAGTGGGCCGTGGGAATGTCAGCCCACGGTCCCCGAGCATCTGCTGTGGGCCAGGCTGGCGCTGGGTACTGGGGTATACTGGGAACACGACCAGGATCCCTGGCTAACGAGCGGTGGCCTTGAGCAAGTCCCTTGCCTCCCTGTGCTTCGGTTTATAAGGCCAGAACTGGGCTAAGCGGTTCATCTCCGGTATTCTGTGGCTGTGATACCAGAAAGGTTAGAAACCCGGACCTAGAGAGGGGTCAGAGAAGACATCCCGGAGGAGGTGGAAGCCATCCAGTTTAGGTCTGGGCGGCTTACAGCGGGAGGAAGGGAGCGGCATTGGCCTGGGGCTCCTCCGGAATCGGCGAGCAGAGGAGGCCCGACCGCCGCCAGCACTGACCGCGCGGTCCCCACAGGTGCTGGCGCGCGCGTTCAGCCGCCGGGCGCTGGAGCACTATGTGCCGCGCCTGCAGGGGGCGCTGCGGCGCGAGGTGCGCTCCTGGTGCGTGGCCCGCGAGCCGGTCGCCGTCTACCAGGCCGCCAAGGCGCTCACCTTCCGCATGGCCGCGCGCATCCTCCTGGGGCTGCGACTGGACGAGGTGCAGTGTGCCGAGCTGGCCCGGACCTTCGAGCAGTTCGTGGAGAACCTCTTCTCCTTGCCCTTGGACGTGCCCTTCAGCGGCCTGCGCAAGGTACTGCCGCCCCGCCCTTCTTCTCGGGGCTCCACGGCGCGGGCGGGTCTCCCAGACCGAGACGCCGTGTCCTCGGAGCACCCCGCGTGTCCCTTCTGCTGGGGAACGGAGGCGCGGCCCAAGGCGGGGAGGTGGCGTGGTGTGGCGGTGGGGGCCGGGGTTGGCATCCGTCCTGACTCGCTACGTGACCCAGGGCAGGCCACACACCCTCTCTGGGACGCGCTTGACGGGACGCGCTCCAGCCTCAGCAGCCGCGGGCTACCCGAGTTTAGGTCTCGGTGGCGGGCGACCCGCCAGTCGGTCCGGCCCCTCCCCAGAACGGCGCCTCCGGCCGGGCTTCCAACACCGGTTCGGGAGCCGGGATGGCTGCGGAACGGGCGGGAGCGCGAGGGCTGCAAACACGTCCCCGGCCCAGCCCGGCGCCAGCCCTGGTCCGAGAGGGGTGGGCGCCGGCTCCCCTCCCGTGGCCGCGGGCCCGCTAGTTTCCGGATCAGAGAACCACGGCCTCTTCAGACTTCAGAGCGACGGGCGGGCCGGGAGAGCAACTAGGAGGCCTATCCCGCCTTCCCTCGCCCCTGACCTGGGGTTCTCACTGTGCGGTTTCCGGGGTTTTCAATCACCTGAATAAAAATAATACATGCGGTCTAAGAGTCATGCTGTGAGCTGATCGCCTTGGATACATACTCCGGTTTAATCCTCCTAGCCTGCAAAGTTTTGTTATTCTCATTTTATTGACAAAACTGAGACAAGCAGGTTAAATGACTTACCCCAAATCAATACAGCTAGTAGGAGCAGAGACAGGATTTGAACCCAATCTCTTCGGGCTACAAAACTCAAGTGCTCAATTACAATGCTTCCCAGGGGGATGCTTTTGCTGGATTTATTACCCAAACTCTGGAGGGGCATATCCACCCCCTTAAAAAAATAGTAATGCTTAGAACATCCAATAGCGTCCTCTAAGAGCTTTCCTGGGTGCATCAACGTGTGTCCCTTCTCTCTGCACTGGTGCCCACTGCCCCAGCCTGAGCCTAGTGCAGGGAAAGGGCAATGGGCTGACTCCACCCTGACTGGGCTCTGTGCCAGGCATGGGCACTGACAGCTGTGTGACAGTGAGCATTCACTTGACCCTTCTTAACCTCAGCATCCTCCCCTCAGGATGACAGTAACTATCTGCCTTGCTTCAGAGGGGGCTTGTGAAAATCAAGACAGAATGATGTTTGTGGACAGTGGACAAATTCCTGACCATTTACTGAGCTTTCCTATGTGCCAGGCAGAGAGCTAAGCTGGGAGGTTTAACACAGGATCTGAGCAAAACCAGTGCAGTTCCAGGAGGATTTCAGGGGGGAGGTGCCCAGACTTGGTCTCCTGAGCCTTCCTGCCCCACCACCTTTCTCTCCTTGCACATAAGGGCATCCGGGCAAGGGACCAGCTGCATCAGCACCTGGAGGAGGCCATTGCTGAGAAGCTTCAGGAAGACAAGGCTGCAGAGGCAGGTGACGCCCTCAGCCTGATCGTTCACAGTGCTAGAGAGCTGGGCCATGAGCTCTCGGTGCAGGAGCTGAAGGTAGGTGGTGGTGGGAGGACTCTGCTCCCCTCTTTTGCATTCCCAGCAGGTTTCTACACACATGCCCTATCCTCCTGGGGACACATCCTTGGGGGCCCCATTTTGATCCACAGACATGCAATCAGGGTGAGGAGAAAGAGACCTGGGTTCCAGTCATGGCTGTCACACCCACTAGCTGTGTAGTCTTGGGCCTGTCGCCACCCTTCTCAGAAGGAGCTTTGAAAGCATGAATTCTAGGCCCATCCTTGAAGGCTCTGGCCACAACCAGCTCCGCTCCCTGACCCCACCTGTCTCTGTCACTGAATGCCTTTGCTTCTGCTGTCCCTCTGCCTAGGAGGCCTTCTTCACACCATTTTTCTACAAACTCTAAGAGGCTCATGATAGATCATGAGCTCCACATCCTTGAGGTCCCCTTTTCCTCCCCAAATCAACACACTCCTCTCATGAGTCACCTTGGAAACTCTACCTGTCTGTTTTGCCACTGCGGATCTCCTGGAGAATTAGGAGCTGCCCCCCCGCCCCCATGTACACATAGAGCACATACAGTGGAGGGAAGCTTTGGAAGGACCCCCCAGGACCTGCTTGAGAACCCCAAAAGGAGTGGAGAGGTTGTGGGGAGCAAGGGAAAGGTAGAAGGGGGAAGACCTCGATCTTCAGTAAGCAACTCCCATCCTTTCTCTGGGCCTCAGTTTCCCACTTTCCAGAAGCCAGCCCCAGAAGGGTAGGGCTCAGCCTTAATTTTTTTCTCTGAGAATGTGACTAATACTCTCTGTGCTGACTTCTGGGTGGTTGTGAATTCAAGAGGAGTCAAGGGGGTTAGAAGACAATGAGCAGTGGGCTCATGAGTCCTGGGGGAGGCTGGTGGACAGGAACAATTCTGGGCTGTGAAGAGGAATGGTGTGGAAAGGAGTGGATGGTCCCTCTGCCTTGTCACCACCTTCCCAGTCCTGTCAACATCCTCCAGGTTCTCAAGAAGGCACCCCATTGGCGAATAATCTTCAGTTCCGGCCTGGGCATCATCAGGGACAGGCCAGGCTGGCTAGGCCTAGCCAAGGAGGATGTTGGGCTCTGGGGTCTCCATCCCAGCTCCACATCTTGGCCAGGTTGGGTTGGGGGCAGGGGGTGAGGGAGGGAGACAGTGTCCAGCCAAGTCATTCATTCCACATATTTGCATACCTATTTGGTGCTAGACTTCCACTGGGACTGGGGATACAGTGGTGAACAAAACACAAGCCCCGTCCTCGGGGTGTAGGAGGGGAGGATACACATTGGTCCTCTGATTCCAGAAATCAGTGTATAAACGTAAACTGTGCGTGCTGCCAGGAAGGAAGACACTAGGGGCTGGGAGGGCAGAGTCAGGCAGACTGGGGCTTGGGGGATGAAGCCACCAGCCCCTCTGAGCAGACGGGGAAGAGATTTAGTGATTCCCTGGGACTACTCCAGTAAGCGAGAGGATGAAGCCATGCTGCCGGCTTTAGTGCGAGGCTGGCACTGCTGCTGCAGGTGCCTTTGTTCCATTGCACTCACTATCTAGACGCTCAGCTGGGGTTGGAGGCAACAGCACCAGGTAGTTAAGAGCACTAGACTCCAAGCTCGACTGCCGGGACTGCTAAGTGTAGGGACCTTGAACACCTCTTGCAGCCTCAGTTTCCAACCCTGTAAAAAGAGTGCAGTAATTGTGCCTCATAAGACTGAGTTGAGGATCGAATGAGTTAATATACATAAAGTACTAATGACAGTGCACAGAAGACATTCCCAGCATGATCTCTGGGAACCCTCCCCAGGCAGGTGGCTCCTGGTTTTGCTTGTTGCTATATGCAACTAGCAGACTTGGGATTTGATCAACTTCAGGACCTACGCACACAGCCGCCATCGTAGCACATCCCCGCTCGCTGGCCTTTGGGCCCTTTGCTCCTCGGCCACGGGGCCAGGGCACGGAGCGACTCCGCTGATGAGACTCAGCGCCACCCGGGCTGTTTTGCAGGAGTCGGCTGTGGAGCTCCTGTTCGCCGCTTTCTTCACCACGGCCAGTGCCAGCACCTCCCTCGTCCTGCTGCTACTGCAGCACCCGGCGGCCATCGCCAAGATCCGGCAGGAGCTGACGGCGCAGGGGCTGGGGCGCACGTGCGGCTGCGCGCCCGGGGCCGCGGGGGG